GTCATGGTATTAAGAGTTTCTCCTTAATATCTAAAAAATTATAAAATTTCAAGAAATAATTTCATAAATTGTTATATCCCAGGCTGATAGAATAAACAAAGAATATAAAATAAAAGTGCAATTGTATTTTAAATCTAAACAATATATATTTTTGTCTCACCTTACTTGATACAGGTAGATGAAAAATGATTAAAATCAATCCACATGTTTGCAGCCATTTTGTTTCTCTACCTTTCTGGAAGTATTCTGTCTAGAAGTAATTTTCTGTCATCAAAGTGAAGAATTCTCATTCTTAGGTAGAGTTATCTCCCCTAACATAAACAAAGCAATAAGGAGAGAGAGCAAATCTAGCACATTCAAAGAAAATTATTGAAATTTATTAATGTACAATATCTTGAAGAGTAGAACCAATTCAACAGAAAATAAGTACATTTTTGGATTCAGTGACCCTGATTTGCCGTACAAACGTTCTAATATACCATGCCTTTTGAAAAAAAAAATTTTGTTGACCAGTGTAATTAGTACACTATCTTTGTTACCATATTCACCATGAGGACACACATCCCAGTGGATAAAATAAAGGGTTCTGTTTGAAATTTCAATCACCTGGCCAAAATGCTGTAGCAACAAAGATGAGGATAACAGTCTAAACATTGTAAATAATTACAATACCTCATCTCAGATATATAGACAGAAAAAGAAAGTTATCTCTTGACTAATCATATTATTCTTCTATCACTAAATAATATAAAGTCATTTCTTTGGATGCTTTGCATATTTTTATATTGCATGTTTTTTCATACTTCATAAACACAACAGCAGCAAATATGTTTCTTATTAGACTTTTAAAAATATATTTTTGTTTAGCATATATTTCTGTTGCAAAGCAATGATAAAAACTGTTATATTGCATGTATTCAGCTTCAAATTGCAAATGAAGCAGTGTGTAATTTCATTAATCTTAATATATATAGATCAGAGCTACAGGAATGTAGGATGCCCATGACTTAGATACAAAGACAAGCTGAAGAGCAACTTGTCACCTGTCAATAACACCCTCAAGCACTTAGCCTTGGAGTAGGTAGAGTGGAGATCAACGTGTTTATTGGACTCAGCGGTTTTCAATCTGCTAGTCTAAATCATCAAGTGAGAGCAAGATCTAAAAGGTCAACCAATCTAACATCGACCTCATTCCACAATCCTCACTCCTGCTCCATATGCAGCCTCCTTTGCAAATCACTTGTGGGTCTTAAATGCTATATAAGATTATCACACAAAATTCATAACTGAACCAATTGGTTAAGTTGTCAGATCCTGATACATCAAAACTGACAGGAGAGTCCATTATATATATATATATATATATATATATATATATATATATATATATATAATGTGTTTGTGTGTGTGTATTTATTTAGTTGAATGGATATGAGTTTGTGACCCTTTGTTTCATGCTTACACAATCCTCAGACAAACTGTTTTAATTTTTAAAATTTGAGGGTTTTTTTTATTATATTTGGTGGGGGGGTGGGAGGAAATTCTCCTCTGTCTGTTTTTGGAATGACACTCATATGCATGGAGACATACATACACACATACATACATACATACATACAGGTGTAGGCATTATGGTTTGCACAAACACATACATATACACAATGCAGGGACCAGGCACAGACATGTATTCATATGTTCAATTACACATACATATGCAATTCAATTGTAATCTTATTTTGATATTAGCACTGAGTGTAACAAAGTTTGTTCAACCAGGGGAGTGTGGGGTGTTCTTGTCATCTTTCAGGTCGGTCAACTATGTTGTCAGACAGATTTCTTCACACACATATACACGCATATATATGTGTACATATATTTATTTCTATATGCCTGGGCTTTACGTCATCACATTGTTTAAAGTGAGATCTGTATGTGAATATGGCAGCGATGATGATTTTATTTTTAATGTTGATTGCTATTGTATTATAGTCTATTATACTTATATTAATAGTGCAAACAATAGTCATTCTAATTTGTAATAGTTTTGTTATAATAGCTGTAAATCTTGAAGTGGAAGTGAAGTAAAATTGTGACAATGATGACAATGGTAATAATAAAAGATAACGACAATGTTAATAATGACAAAAAAGATAATAGCAGTAGTAAATAAGAAATAATGATGGAAATGGTAATAAAAGTGTGATAATAGTGATGATTGTTATTGAAGGGATAATAAAAAATAATTGAAGTGATAATAACTAAATAATGACAATGGTAATAATAGTAGTAATAAATAGATAATGACAATAATAACAACAAAGACAATAGTAAAAAACAGTATTAATGTTGTTGTGGGAAGATATGAAGTGAAAATAATAGTAGTAGTTATTTTTTGGAAAGTGCATAGGGTAGTGACAACAATATTGGTATCTAAAGTAGTAGTAGTCATTGAAGGGTGGTGGCAGTTTGGGTAACAGTGTTGGTAACTATATCAATCTGTGTTAATTGGTATGGCTGTGTTTTTTTTTTTTAATCTGATATGAACTGTGATATGAGGTATTTATTTTCATGTCTGCATTTTGAAATTATTTCCGATCTTAGGTTCAGTAATTCTTTTGTCGAGTCTGGAAGATTATCACTACTTTTTCATGTAGACAAAGTGGCTTTTTTTTATTATACTGTTGCAGGCAGGTGCAGTTATATATATATATATATATATATATATATATATATATATATATATATATATATATATATATTATAATTCACCCCAAGTAAGGCAATAAGCCACTAAAATGAAAGTTTATGGTAACTTCTAATCAGTTCAACTGTAAAATGACGAAACCTTGCCATTAATCTAGTACAGCACTTAAATTCATAAAGTCTAGTTACCATAGTGAAAAGTTCATCAGAACAATTACCATGAAAATATTTATAGAAAAACCACATAGAAGCTATTTTATGGCAGTGGAAAAAGGACTGAAGCCAAGATGCCAGGTCAGGACCAATAACATTGCAGATTCTTCTTTGGATTTTATCAAGAATCTCTAAATACATGGAATCACCAGGCCAGATATGGCAGCAATATTAAATGCTTGTATGAATTGTAAACTTATAAATAGCAAGATAAATTCTGGCAAGAAAAATTGTCTAACACAGCACAGTGAACTAGCTTTCATGTGAGCAGACCTAACAATTGATTCAATATAATCTTTCCACTACATGTCAATGGAAAACATTGGTCCAAGATGGTGCAAAATCTCACTCTCAAAGTGTAACTCTCTGTGAGGTTAGCATCAGTCATGCTGATAAATGGCAGAAAGGATTCTATTAGGCAAAGGAGTTTCATTTTGCAGGCATTAAAATTAATAGGCCATTCCTTGCTCTAATTAACATTTTTTTAGATCAGCTGCCAATTTGACCTTATTAAGCTGACCAAACTTATTATTAAGACACAAGTAAATTGTTGTGTCAGCAGCAAAGATACCAAGTTAAGAACTTATGATATCAGGAAGGTTAGACATATTAGGCTGTTTGTGAAATCAATTAACACTTGTATGTTTAAAAGTTTTATGAAAAATTCAGAAACTAGGAAAATTTATTCCACATAGACTCAGAAGATATTCATTCAAATGCTTGTCTCTTTTTGTTCACTTTTAAAGAAATCAATCATTGTTGATGGGAAATGAATTTAAAATGAGAATCCAAAATTAGACAAATGGTAATCAGATCTAGAACAGTATTCAGCATTTCATTTTGAATGGAATTTACTGCAGTGGGGGGAGGAGTCTTTATATGTTGGGTGTGATGCAAAGAATTTATTAGAAGTTAGACAAAATTACTTAAATCTTAACTATGCATTGATACAGTTTGCAAGTGGCTCATTAGAATGCCTCAATGAAAATAGCTTTATTTGATGCTCTTGCTGCCTGTTCCTATGTTGCAAATATAATTCAGCAAATGTCCTTTGAGTAGGAATAACAAAGTCTTCCACCTGCTCCATATTCTCCAGATGTCATTTTCAGACTCTCATTTGGTACAACCTCTACAACACTTTTTATCTGGTCAGCAGTTCAAGAAATTCTTTGAAAAATGTATCAAATCAGAAGTGGAATTGTTCTTTTATGATGGAATACACAATTTATTTGAACCATAAGGGCAGATAATTTGAGAGAAAATAATTGGATAACTGGATAAATGATGTGATGCATTTATATGAATAAATGATTTTGATGGCAAAATTTCCAGCATTTTTAACAACCTAATATTTTTCTTTTCAATATTAAATTGAAAATCACAAAATAAATCAAGAATCTTGATGACTAAGATGAAACCATTTCAAAGAAATGGAGATCTTCTCCAGGAAGGTAGAGAAGCAAAACTGCTGTTGATAATAAATAAATAAACACTGTTTAGGACTTGCATAGAAAACTGTTGTGCTTTTCATTTCAATTAATCTGTGATAGAGAATTCTTTCACATAAATTAACTCCAGCCAATAGTAACGTTTTATTCGAATGATTTAAAATCTTGACAGCATCACTGTTTCATTTCTGTGTTTTACTTTCATTTATAAAAACATTCTTTTATAATTCTAATACTGTTATACCACCCACTTACTTTTATGTTATCAGCTTCTTGCTTACATATTGTATGTATTGTAAATTATATGAACTCTCAGAGATTTGAAATTTTGCTAAAACATTAAAATAGTTTGCAATTTATAAATTTTGCTCTTGTTTTCTTGTAAATATAATTAAAGCATTGCATTTTTTATAATTGTCATGTTACGCAAATTAAAACAACTATTCTCAGTAGAAATTCTACGGGATTGAAATATAAAATTGTAAAATCCTTTCAGTTTGTTTTCACTTTTTCTATGAAAACAGCCTATTTTGTTTCTTTTATTTTTAAGCTAATTCCCTACTTGTTATAATATTTTGAAAAATATAGGTTGCAGCAAGATACTCTTTCTGATATATTTTTTTTTTATTTTGTCAGGTTTTACTCAGGATTTGTCAAGATAAACGTCGGTGTCAGTTGGAAGCAAGCATTGAAACATTCACCAAAAATGCTGACCCTTGCCCTAATAAGAGCAAATACCTGGAAGTAGCCTACCAGTGTCGACCAAGTAAGGACTACAGAGATCTCACTGAATACCATGATTTATAGCAAAATTATATTTGGCTGACCATAGTCAGTAAGTTACAGGATCAAAAAACAACAAGTAGCAAGCTCTTCCAAAGATGGATTTATTATATATAATATATATATATATATATATATATATATATATATATATATATATATATATATAATATATAATCATATTTGGAATTTAACTATTTGTGGCTTGACAAGAAACTCTGTTAGAATGTAAATATGTAGACTTTCATTAAAATCAAATTCATATTTAGTAGATTATGAGGGAACCAAAATTACAAGGCAACTCCAGGGAACTAATCTTGAATAACTGGGGAAAAATCCTAATTATTAGTGCTGACCAAAATACTTGTTCAGAAACAATATCAGCCCAATTTAATTCTGACAGAAATTTCAGAAAAGAAATAAATAAACCTATATTCTCCTTTATAAACCTCAACCAATATTATAAGTATTGTGTTTGTAATACTAAAACCAACATATTGACAATTATTAATAATTAATATTAAAAACTAAAGAAAATAGTAATTTTCTTTAGTTTTTAATATTAATTATTGTCACTTTTCATCACAACATTCTAGGTTGAATACTTTTGGACTATCAAAGTAATTAGTAAAATAAGAATAAATAGCTTCTGATGAAATTTTAATTTCATCCTGGGAGCTTATGTTGATGACAAACCATTTCAGCCATGTAAGCTTAGCAGAGTCAAAATCTATTCTCAGATTTGATTATACAAGTCAATTTTTCAAAATAAAATTAATATTAATCAACCTATGTTTGTAAAACTTTCAGAATATACTTATATCTATTTAAGGAATCTACCATGTGAATTTCAGCTTATTTGTTTTTATTAGAAATATTTACAATAATTTATTTAGTAGCGTGAGATTTTATTATGCACCTTGAGGATTGTAACTCCCTACATGTAATCATATAGTTATTCATATTTATTTTTTAATTTCAGATATATAAAGATTGTCATGGGTCATAAGAAAGATATAATCTTAAGAGAAACAAGATATCATAAAGTTATTTAATAATGGAAAAGTAACTTTGGAAATTTTAAAAATGATCAGAGAACAATGAAAAAGAAATTGAAAATATTGATGTAAGGACAAAAAAAATGACTTTAAAAATGTTACAAAAAGATATTTGATAAAAATTAAAAGGAGAATAAGAAAATGGATTGACCAGCAAGAAAATATTTGAAGATGGTTAGTTATACTAACTAATATTAATAATTATATTCTGAAAATTTCACCAACATTGATTACTTATTACCAATTATGAAAACATTGACTTGTATAATAAAATCTGACATAGTTTACGGTCATATTGCAATTTCCCCCTTGATTATGCTGGTCTAAAAAAAAAACAAAAAAACCTTTTCTCTGAGGCAAGCATGTTTTTTACTAATTTTCACGTAGTGAATTCAAATTTCTGAACAGTTTTTCTCTGTCACTTCTAGTTTTCTTGCTTTCACATATCACATTTTTATTATATTGGATATAAATTCAAAATATAATGTGTTTATTTTATCTTTTATAAAGTCATATTGCAAAAAAAAAGCAGCATAGATACAGAGCATTGAGAGAAGTAAATTACTTGGATAATAACATATATATATATATATATATATATATATATATCATAGTACAGCAGACAGTCAGGAGTGAGGTTTTTGGACAATCTCATGTACTTTGGATCCTGTATATCATGCTGGAGTTCCATTTGCCTTAGTAGTTTCTTTCCATCTTAGTAATATATTGGTAGAACCTTTCTCCATACTCATCACTCACTGCTCTGAGGTTTGGAGGGAAGAATTTAAGGTGGGAGTGGAGAAAGTGAATTTTAAGTGACAATTGGCATCCTCACAAACCTGTAACAACTTCTCTATACACTCTTGGTAATCTGGTACCTGTGTGTTACTAAACTGCATCTAGAGATTATATGCAAAAGAGGTATTGTCAAATATTTTATGTAAAATTCATAGATATGTGTTATCCCATGAAATAATTTGTACTCTTATGTATAGCGAGTAAGCATGAAAGCAATTAAGTCCCAATTTTCAATTTCAGATTGATATTTAGTATTTTTTCAGTAATTATAGCAATTTGCAGTGTCAAGAGATTATTTGCAAGAACTGGAATTTAGTATTATGGCTCGTAAAAAAGAACTAACAATGAATGAAAAGAACTATATAATCAAAGAAATTAGCAAAGGAAAGTCTTCGCTTCAAATTTCTAAGGATTTGAAAAGGGATCATCGAACAATCAAGAAAATACGTCAATGGGAATTCAACCAAGGAAAAAAAGTCTCAGGCTGAATTCAGGAATTTAACAAAGCGAGATCTATCACATATCCGAAGAGAATTAATAAGAAACACAAATGCGTCAAGTGCATTCATATTTGAGGCCGCTGAAGCTCCTATGGTGTCAAGGGAAACAAGGTGTAAAGCATTAAGGAAGTTTGCTAATGTAAAAAATCAAATAAAGAAACCCATTTTAACAAAAAAACATAAGGAAAGAAGATTGCAGTGGGCAAAAAAAATACATGAAAACTGATTTCAGTGAAGTGCTTTTGACAGACGAATCAAGGACCACCATTGATGGGCCCGATGGATGGGTTCAAGGATGGGTTTGCAAGAAACACGACTCAAGAAAATCTTTTAAACGCCAACAAGGTGGCGATGGGGATCATGATATGGGCTGGGATTAATGGTAATGAGCTTGTGGGTCCATTTAAACTGAAAGACGGGGTTAAAATGAATTCCAAAAGTTACGGTGATTTTCTAGAGCAATATTTCTTTGAATGGCTTGATAACCAGTCTTTAGCCAAGCGTAGATCTATGATCTTTATGCAAGGCAACGCACCAAGTCATGCATCAAAGTTTACTAAATCCTGGTTGAAAGAAAAGGGATTTGTTGAAGATTCTCTTATGGACTGGCCTTCATATAGCTGTGACTTGAATCCCATTGAGAACCTGTGGAGCATCCTCAAGAGAGATATTTATTCTAATGGAAAGCAATTCAACAGCAAGTGTAACCTCTGGGAGGCAGTTAAAGTTGCTGCAAACAACTTACCAGCCGCTAAAATTGCAAATCTAACATCAGATGTTGACAATAGGCTGCTAAGAGTTATTGAAAAGAAAGGAGCATTTGTGCAATAAATTTTAGGAGGTTCTTACTATTTTTTGTTAATATATCTTTTATTTTTAAAGTAAAATGTTTTTTTTATGTTTTTCCTTTAAGAAATTGACAAATTTGTTCTAAAATCTTTTCATATTATTTTTTTACATTAGTTTTACAAGGTATAATAATGTAAAAGTATCAAAATAAATAGTTGCAAATAAACTACTGACAGTCAAATTAGTCTGTTTTGTTAACTTAGTAAAATTTTTTCCAACCAAAAACAATAGACTTCCCTATCACAATATATCTAAGTTAATAATATTGAGTAGAATCTAAACATCATAATAGGACTTTTAACATTAAAGATGCAACTCTTTATACCAATTCATGACTTGCATATAATCTCTAGACGCAGTTTAGGGTAGCCATAGACTTAAATGTTTGCCATGCTCTCAGTTCATTTAAGATAAGAAGCTCTGCAGTAACACAATCTGTTTTCCATGCTGAAGAATGAGGCAAAGTCCTTTTTTTGTGTCCTGAAACTGGTGATCCTAAAATCTGTTGTGATCAAGTTCCAATGCTTAAGCTGAGATGCTAGGAGCTCTGACTGCTGATTAGAAACAAATCATGGGCAAGGTCACAGGTCTTCCTATGTGATTCAGTGGGGTTCACTGCCACTTGCCCCTCAATAAACAGAGACATTGTCTTCAAAAGAGACTAACTGGAAAGAATTTTCCTTTGAAGTAATTTTTCATATGATGAAGGAATAAGATATTTATGTGCTGGGGGTCAAGGAAATCATCTGATTGATGAACAGGTCTCATAGCTGAAGGAAGCTTAGAATATTTTTTTTTTTTTTTTTTTGGAAGAAGCATTGAAACAAGTTTGTTAAACAAAAATATTATTCATTTGCATGGCTTTTTACCTCTCTCCAGACTATCAGGACAGTAAACTTGAAGGCTGCTTTCTTGTCATGAAACCATGCAGTTAGCAATAGGGTATCCAACAGATAGGTAGGGCCCAGGATTCGTTCTAATCTCCAATTTTACAGTCAAAATAATGAAAGTAAGCTGTTCTCAGGAGGGGAGTAATTGTTTTCGGTACTGTGCAAATGTTGTAAAAACCGCACACACATAACAGAATGAATTTGACTTGTTGGTGTTTTGAAGCGACTGAAGCCATTGTAAAGTTTGATGTATTAGCTCACAAAAATATGGAAAACAAAATAAACAATGATTCTATGTATGGTTACGTCTATGTGCACCAGGCATTCAAATTTAAAGAGGATTTCATTTTGTTACAGTGAAACTTAGCCTGCAGGGCCGAGTGTAGGTTGTCAAAGGTGGCCATTATGTCATTTAAAAAAAATTACAATTCCTAAAATGTAGTAAAAACAACACAATGACATAAATAGGACACATTTAGCAACCTTGAATGCATGTACATGTATACATTTCCATATATGTATATCTAAAAAACTATAAGTGATGAGTGAAAATGGATTTCATATCAGCACCACAAGATTAGGTTAGAATACCTATTTTTATGCTTACCTAAATTTCTTTGTAAACCAGTGTTGTTTATATTATTTGTTCAGTAGTAGTGCTAGTAGTCTTCTTATACATTCTATGTCCTGTTGGAACATAGATGATTATGGCTCTCCACAACTTCCTATCTTTTGTAGCTGTTAATGATTTTTTTACTATCTGTCCCACTCCCTATTCTGATATCTATTTTTTTTTTTTTTTTTTTTTTTAAGCATTTCACCCCAAGCAAGGCGGGAAGCCACCAGGATGCAAGGGGGTTACAGAAAATTTAGAGCAAGATCAGATAG